GTGTTATTCATGTGTTATTGTGTGTTATTCATGTGTTATTTGTTATTATAACATTAGGAATATTCTCAAGATACAATAAATATTTCCCGTGTTACTGTGTCATTGCTTAGTATAATATTTTTCCAAATTTTTGCTGAACGCCGGCCCAATCTCTTCTTTCCAAATTTCTGCAGAGGATACGAGGACGACGACCTAATGGAGGGAACGACTGCGCTGGAGGATTCTCAAAAGGCTCCGGCGATGGAGTGCAATTTCTCATTTGTGTGGGATGACGATTCGAAACTCTATTTCCATGCAGGGTACGGGCTTGTTACCTTTCTCCTCTCCCGGCTCCTGCTCTTTTGCACCTCGGGAGTTTTCTTCTTTTTTTTGAAGTATCTGCGCTTGCGGTAACATTTCTCTTCTTCAGATTCTTAGAAGGATTGAACTTTATTCGTTTTCCTCTGGTTTCAGGCTATTAGCTGCTTTGGCTGCTCCTTTTAGGATTTTGCTGGCCATTTTCTGCTATTATGGTCGTTATATTGTATAATAGGTGGATTGGAATCCCATTCGCTTAAAATTTGATTGTTTGTTGTTGTTTCTGATGGGTTTAGAGTTTGTTGATGTTGTTTCGGCGAGAATTTATGTCTTTGATTTGATTTACATGTTTTGGTGGGTGTTAATGCCGAGCTTGATACCCTAATGTCGCATCGGAAATGCTTGGGGGTTTTTAGCCTATAATACTGAGATTATGAGAGAAGGCAATAATTAGCTTTGTTGAAGTTTTCTCTTTCTAGTTTTTTTTCTTGTAGTAAAATTTATTTGCGCAACTGACATTTGTTTCCTTCAAATTTCTCTATCTTAGCCCTTTGCATCTCTCCCCTTGCTGGCTAGAATAATCTATAGTATGAGGAAGGAATGAGTTCAGGAATGTGGGCTTAAGTTATAATCAGGTTGAACTCGGTGCATTGGCTCTTTTAATGTTGCTGGTTTGCAGTTCCTTGGTGATAATTGAATTGAATTTCAGGTGTTGCAAATTTTTCCCAAAGAAGGAATTCACAATCCAATAATTTCAACTTTTTGAATTTAAAATTAAAGAACTATAAAGTTGGTCAAGCGTGGCTTGACTGCTGATGACATGTGTCCATCTTCATGATAGCACCTGGATTTCATCTTAGGATACTTTTCTTTGTTCACATTTGTTGCCACATGATTTGGAGGATTGCTATCCGCTCATCTTCTATGATGTATTATTCCCCTTGAGTTCTTTTTCCCACCATTTTCAAGCTCTTGATCTTTTTCCTTCCTGAATTCTACCAACTCGTTGCTCTTCTTATAGTTGTTGCTTATTGCTGTTTCACATTCAGGCATTGAGAAAGAAAGTGATGCTTTCCTTCCCACTTTTATTGCTTTATCACCACCGTCCTTATGCATAAACCAATGCTGATTTGAAGAAAATATATAAAAAGCTCAAACTCACTGGAATGGTGCCTTCTATCTTCATAACGAGAACGAGTTTTCCTACACCTTCCATTTAGAGAAGTTGCTTCTTTGTATACGAATTCAATGGCGATTGATACCTCGTTGTTAATGTCCTTCTTCGACAGTTTGTGCCACATCTATGGTGGAGTGTTGAGGAGATGTAGACTACCATCTAAGCTAGCCTTGTCATGTTTTTCCTAGAGGAGATCTTGATGTTTTTGTGAGCGTTGGTAGGACAATGAGGTTGTGCTTGAAGAGGAGGTCCCTAACATGTGGATCATTGTAGTTTTCTTTTCATTTGATGCGAAAGATAGCTAAATTTCGCCTTAGAAACTTGTTTATTATAGAAATGTAAATGCATACTCAACAAACCAATTAAAACTACAAATTTAATATATGAAATTCAAAATATTAAAAAAAAAAAAAAAAGTTCAGGACTGAAAATGATCAATGAGATAATAATATTATTGTTTCTAATAATGTACTTTAAGACTTGCTGTACAGAACCTAACATAGATTCTTTGGGAACTTCAATAGAGCACGAATTCTAAATCTTATGCTTTGCCCAATATTTTGGGGTTTTTGTTCTCTCCTTTGATTTTTTCCTTCCCTTTGCTGATAGCGTTATTCTTGCTTCTCACATAAGAGAGCTAAAGGTTCAAGCACTCAGGTTGTATGCTTAGCTACTTGTATTGCTTATTAATTCATCATTCAACTTTTGTTTGGTTTGGAATTGCCCAATTCAGATTTATCCTTTAAGTTGTTGAATTAGAAATCTTGGTACATCTCCAACTAGACTGTTGCAAGATTTTTTTTTTTATTGTTCTTTTTTTTTTTCAATTTTTTGTACACTACATTAGTTTGAACTTATGTGTGCTGAAAAATTTGTAATTTGATAAGTATGGATATTTTATGAAAGTTATCTTAGTTAACCTTTACGGCTTCCGTAGGCATAGTCGTTATATGATATTGGCTTAATGCCATTATAGAGCTAGGTTTGTAATTTGTGTTGTTTTTTGCATTGCATCTTACTGATCTATGTTAATCTTTCAGCTTCAATGGTTGAAACTAGAGGTATAATTGAGTCTAAGAGTCTGTTTGGGGCAGCTTATTTGGTGTGGTGACATTTTGAAAATACACCCGACCTGTTTGGGTAAACTGCGTTTTGACAACTTATGCGTTTTCAAAACGCTGAAAATAGTGTTTTCACACCGCATCTATTTAGGTGCGGCGGTGACAACTTTCTGACAACGGTCTGATTTTTTTTAAAAAATAAAAATTTGTAATAGCCACCGCACCCTTCTTGTTAGCGAATTATTTTTAATCAGCTTATCAGCAGATTATTCAATAAGCTGCAGCTGCCCCAAACAGACCCTTAGTAAATATGTGAATTAGCTTTAGGCTTTGTTTAATGTTTTTTTAACCAAACTCAATGGGTTAATGAACCAAGATTGAGCCATCCTCGACTAATCCTGTAAGCTTTTAAATTGATTAGTTAAAAAATGTTATTAAAAATTAAGCCTGAAATATATTAGAATTCGAGGATTTATGTACAAAACTTTTTAAATTTTTTGAAAAAGAAAATTCTTTGTTATTTCAACTAATTTCTTAAACAATTCTCTTTCTTTGGTCATTTTATTACGACAACTTCTTGGATTGCAATTTTTTATTCATAATAATAATTTATAGAATTGAGCTCAAGTTACACTTGATTGATTAATCGAGCTCAAGTTTAAGTTAATGCTTACTCTAGTTCAACTTGATTTACTTCCACCTTTAGCTAAACTAATATTTTTTTCCTTCAAAATGGGCTTCTTCAATGTTTTTGGATGTCTTCAAAATGGGCTTCTTCAACTGGATTTTATTGATGCATGCGGAATTCAAATTTAAAAGATTGACAAAAACTTTTAAAATTCTTTATTAACTAAGCTGACTAGCACCCACATAGCTTTAACATGTATGGATGACCTAATTCTTTCCCGAGGATTCAAGGGATTTTTGTATAGTTAGAGGCATTCATTGCTTTTGGACCAATGGATATCCTCTTAAACAATTTTCTTGTGTAAGAATGTCGTCATATGCCAAGAAATATGGCTCATTTGTGCCACAATTTATCATTAAATATACGCTACTTTTTTGTTCTTGCTTATTCATTTAATAACTCGAAGGAGGGAGAAAAAGAGAGAGAGGTATAGAATATTTAAGTTGGGAGATACGATATAGGTATTTTGATCGAGTTAAATGTATTAGAATAGAAGAAAATATGGTGATGGTTAAAGTTGAGAACATTAAGAAAAGGTGAAAATATTATTTTGCAAATGAGATTTTTCGAGAAAGAAATTTTTTTGGATGATCGTAATAAATAATATAGGGAATTATATATGGATTGTTCTAAAAATCAAAGCTGGTGGAGGTTACCTTTGAAAAATGTCAATAAAGCTAAAACTTGGTCTAGATCCAATGCCTATTGAGATTTGAAAAATTATAAGGGATATTGTAGTATTTTGGTTGATAATTATTTTTAATAGAACCTTGAATACTAAGAAATTGTTAAATGATTGTTTAAAAATAGTTTTGGCACCAAAATTTAAGAGCAATTGTGTTGTTTCGGATGAAATCAATTTTATATGTTATACCATGAAGCTATGGGAGAGAGTAATAGGATACATGCAAAGAAAAAAATTATGATAATTTTTAAAAAAGGTTGGTTTCAAGCCAGTAGGATCTATTATGAGAGATTTTTATGTCAAAACAATAATGTAAAAAGTATAGAGAATTAAGTAATATCTTCATATGAATTTTATCAGTTGTAAGAAGGCATATGAATATGTATGATGAGAATTATTTTGATGTAATTTAAGGCAAAAATACGTGCATGAAAAGATATAGACATTATCAAAGATACGTATGATGGAGCACATATTAGTATTAGAAGCTGTTGTAAAGTGATAAATGAGTTTTCATTCTCGGAAGATTTATTATATTATACATCATCATTATGTCCATTCTTTTTTTATTTATTAGTTATTGGAAATATTTATTAAGGATATTTAAACAAGATGCCTTGATATATACTTTTTGCAAATGATATAGTTTTTCTATTGAAACATTCATCAAAACAACTGAAAGTTAGAATAATTGAGAAAATATTTAGAAGATAGAGACCTTAGACTTAATATAATAAAGTTTGAATATATATTATTTAATTTTAATGGGTGTGATATCAACAAATATCATTTTATATTATTAAAAGATAAGGGATGCGTAGGAGCAATATATTAAATATTTTATATATATTTTACCAAAAATATGAATATATTTATGATGATATACACTTTTATAGTTAAGGCTGAATGGTTGAAATAGAAAAGGGCATATGGAGTTGTGTGACAAGAGAACATCATAGAGGCTTCAAGCAAAGTTTAAAAAACCACAATTAGGCTAATAATATTGTATGGATTCAAATTTTAGGATTAAAGTTATTGATATTTAAATTGAGTGTGACAAAAATGAGAATGCTCAGATAGATGCACGATAAACTATGCAAGAATAATTAAGGAATAATCTGATTAGGAAAAATGTTAGAGACTTATATTGAAGATATGATTACCAAAAATTAATTTAGTTGATTTGGTAATGAAAGGTGGAAAGTTTACCCTTTAAATATGTCAGATGGTTAGGAAGATAAATGGGTTAGACCTAAAGATTAAATGCATGGAAGTTTTAGAACTAACTCAAATCTTTTACTTCTATTTGTTGTCTTTGCAAGTTTTAGTTAGGATCCTTGTTTATAAAAGAGAGGGTGGCCCAAACCAAGCGAAAGTATATGTGCTGTTAAAGAAAAAAAATATGATTCATATATAATAAGGCAGTTATTCATGATTAACATAACTTATAAATTTTTTTATTTTTACCTTTCCCTTATTGCAGTACTGGATTCTACCATGACCCTAATGATGGATGGTATTACAGCAGCAGAGATGGTCTTTATTACAGGTTTGAGAATGGAACTTACGTTCTTATTACCTGTGCTGAGGTATTTTTCTTGGTTTGCTACATTATTTGCATGCAAAATCGATATATTTGGCTCCAAATATTTGTTTAAAAAACATATTGGTTCAGGAAGAAAAACTCGCAGCTCCTACATGCACTGGGTCTGTCTCAAGTGAACCTACATTTGATTCATGTATGTGGTATCCACAAGACGAACATCATCTCTTCTTATAAACGGTTCTCACTTCTGTGTGGTTTTTTCTGCTTTATGTAAATTGTTGAGCTACTTGGGGATGTCTTGTAACAATTTTAGTAAATCCTGTAAATCACGCATTTAAGACAAAACTGAGAGGAATTGACAAGAAACTAGATTTACTAAAGCCAGGATTTAAAATTTGCTCTTATTTTTTGTCTTTCAGATTTTAGTTAAATCCCACTTAAATCTGTTACCGACAACCCTTAATTTTACTTGAGAACACAAGAATTTGGCGCTAGTTTGAAGCGTTATTTAACCATAATCAGTTGCTGACATCTAATAAAATAAAGCTATGGTTCACTCAGTTTATATGTTACTTCAATACATGAAGTTTCTATTTTTTTTTTATTTTATTTATTTGTTTACTTTTGTAAAATAGAAACTACAATTATTCACACAATTTACTTGTTTTCCTTCCATCTTTTCCAGGCAATGGAACTAAAAATGAGCTGCCACCATCACAGTGGTTTGTAAAGTGGTCTCACATTTTTTGCATGCCTTACCAAAAAGGACTCTATGTGACGCCTTTCTAACATCGTAAGTTATTTATTGCAGGATTGAGGAGACGCTGATTGACCTTTATTTATCAGGATATAATAACAATTCAGATTCTAACCCTGACAGCTTAACGGATCATATGACAAATGGTGAGCATTAAAAGTTTGGGGCATTTACATGGATAGCGCACAATTATATATAAACCCACTTTTTAGAAGTCAAATACACCTTTTCATGCATGATTTAATGCACCAAAGTGCTATGTATGCAAATATGAACTTTTGGTGTGTGATATATTTAAATCATAAGAAATGTATGCCATGTATGTAAATTTTCCAAATTTTTTCATATAATGCATTCTTCTAATTTTCTAGATGTTATCAGAAAGCCGTATCGTTTAGCAAGTTTTTTGCATATTGACCAGAACAGGGTTGTCAGGTCCAGTGTGAGGGACTAATTGATTATTTAGCTTTAGATGGCCCATTTGGCAGTCAAAATGGTACTGAGAATCTGCAAAACAACGAACCGACCTCAGACGATGAACATGGCATGGATGTGTTAACTCACATAATCTCAAGCAAAGGTGCATGCTAATTTCTGTTTTGAACCATCTTATTATGATTCTGTAGTGTTCTCGTCTATTTTTCATGGATGTTGTGTAATTTTAAAATAAGTTGAAAATTTTCATATTTATTTCAGAAGAGGAAAACTGGCATGCACAGTATGGCCAGGTCACCTGTAGAGCCGATGATGATTTGCCACCTTTCTTTGTAGTAGATCTGTGGGACTGGGAAATGATTATGGAAACTGTAAAGAACAGTTATGTGTCAAGGTTGATGGGAAGGGTGACCAAACGTTCTAGTAAACTACATCCTTCTATCCCTGCTAACGGGAGTCTTCTGAAAACTGCTGCCATTCGAGAGGTTCATCTGGATTTTGTTCGCGTTGAATCAGGTAATTTTCGGAGGGTCATTCACATGCATACCACACAATTCTTATGTATCTACATAGCTAAAACCTATGCATTCATAATTCCATGCATGCCACTCAAATCTTTAACATCACATAAAAAATGTCACCATCACTTTAGAAGTGAAATACACCTTTTCATGCATATGTTTATGATACCAAGGTGTTTTAAGTGTAAATATCAAACTTTGGCTGTTAGATGTAAGAATGATATGTATGTAAATTTTTTTTTTTCTATATGCACTAACATTCATCAGACATTATCTTATTTTGCATTATGATATATCAAATATCAGAATTTATGAACGAACTTTGAAGCTGTAACAACTTGGTCTCTCTGTGATTCTAATGTTAAAAGGATATTCACTACCCAATGTGGAAAAATGCCTTTACAACATGTTGGTATTATAATTTTATTTTTGGGTAACAACAAATTAAGATGATGGAAATCACTTCGGGAATATTTGGTTTCAAGTAGTTGTATTATATGTGTATTTGAAATAAAATGTTAAGTAAATAAAATACAATTAGAATATACTTAGAATTGTTTGGTTGATATTAAAATGTAATTCTCATCGGGGGCAAGCCGGAGGTTGTGAGGAAGGAGCCTGAGGATGTGGGAGGAGGCAACACGGGGACGATGCTATGCAACAAACTTGGTGGGGTTGATAATGTCTCCGGATAATTTTGACAAGGTTTTGTAAAGCCGAATATCATGTGAGCGAGCACAATGGATTTGGAATTGATCCTCAAAATTTATATGAAAATGAGCTATTGGAGGTTTCTTAAACCCCTTTTAGAAATGTTTTAGATTTGTTTTACTCCCAAATAAACACTAAAAAATTTAAAACCCTGCATAGCCTCTTAAATGCACTACACTCAAATTACCTACATTTGAACCTACCCTTTATCATCATATTATGGTTAATTGTGTGGACTTTATCCTAGATAAGAAATTTTTGGAGAACTTATGCTTTGTCCTGGACTATGAACCTTGATATGTATTTAAATCTAGTATTAAAAATTATCAATAGGCTTTTCCTTCAAATTTGAACTAAAAATATGTAGACTGTGATTACAGTATGGATATACTCTTAACGGTCTGGTTTCATTATTTAACTCTGCTAGAATGACAATCTAAAAAATAACTAACCTCAATATTCTGAATTGTCTTTTGTTCAACCAGTTATGATCACCATTTGTCAGTGTTGGTGATGGCTTCTGATTTTAATTGTAGTCGAGGACAAAATTCAGAAGAGTAAATTGTCAAAATCGTCTCTTGGCGGTTTATATGGGGTCATTTTAGTCCTTTGAATATATGTGTCAAATTAGTCTTCAGTCTCTTTGAATTAGGGCTGAAATAATCTTCGTATTAAAAGACACCCGGGACTAAATTGGCACTTTATGGGCATTGTGACCAAAGTGACCCACGACAAAGAATCAGAGACTATTTTGCACTTTCTCAAATTCACAATGTGCTCAGTACAGATTTTGTTTTAGTTGAGGACAAAGTTCATAATGTGCTTTCTACAAATTTGATTTAAAAAAAAATTTGCTCCCCTTAAACTGTCCATAGCAAATGCAAGCTTTTTTTGAGGGAAATAGAACTCTTTTTTTCTCATGATTTCAAATTTTAAACTTTCTTAAGGCCTTTCCTTTCTAGAGGTTGATGACATACTTTTTTCATTTTCCTTTTCCAGGGAGAGTTTACAGATTGCGGAGTCCTAGTATAAAGTATTTAGTTTCATTATCAACATATGATTCTTCCAATCCGACAAAAGATTGGGACTTCCCTGATTTTTTTTCCTCCAACTATGAATATACTCCAGTTAGTCATGATCAAGACTACAACTTAGCTGGGGCTGTTTATGCAAATTCTTCCAGTACTATTGACGAAATGCCTTCAATGGCTAAAATGGTAACTATTATGTTAGATTTATTGCATGCTTTTTTTTTCAAAGCCTTAGTGTTTGCTAGCAATTTTAGTGTATTCCTTGACCCTGCCTCGATGATTTTGGCCGCCTTTTTTGTGTTGCTCCTCAATAATAGCATGGGGCATTTACATACATGCTGCCCAATTCCTATTTATTTACTTTTCTAACACCTAAATATTATTTTGTACATTTATAACGCCTAAATCTTTTATATCATATCAAAAATACCACTATTTCAACTTTTAAATAGTGGAATGCACATTTTCATTCATAGTTAAGGTTGTATAAATGTAAAAATTGATGGTTAGGTGTTAGATATGTAAATAAATAAGAATTGAGTGGTATGTACGTAAAGATATGTAAATAAAGGTGTTAGATATGTAAATAAATAAGAATTGAGTGGTATGTACGTAAATCTTTCTAATAACATTTGTGAGGTTTAATGACTTCGCAACGTAAATAAAGTCTCTCGACACTCATAGGCATATGATTACAGATATTTTCAGTACACCTTATTTTAATGCTTTGTGAAATTCATCTTTGTCTTGTTGATGGTTTGTGGTTTTCACTTTTCAGTATTCATTTATCTTTTGTTGATGCTTTACTCTTAGTGATATCAGAGTTAACCCAAACCACAACTCGAACGACACAATTTTATTACTAACTTTAAAGGAAATACAACATCGACTCTTAACGAAAAAACGACACCAACAAGTAGATAATAATAAAGGAAATAACTACTTAACAAGTAATAAAATAAAAACAAAATGGGCAGGAACACTCCTGGATAGCGTCAGAGGGCAGTTGAGACGTCACTAGGGTGGCGGGGAAGGAGTCAGCAGCGGGTGGACGATCGTTGGGGTGGCTTGCGGTGACTGGAGCAGTGTTGGAGTGCCTGGAGTGGTCGGCTGTCTACAGTTAGCAATGTCGTGGCGGAAGGCAGCAGCGGGAGGACTTCTGCAGGGAGCTGGAAGAGGTTGCGAAGTGAGCTGGAAGGGGACCCGATGGGATCTCTGGCCTGCTGGAGGTGGTGGCACATGTAGAAGGGCTGCAACTAGAGGTGTTGCGACGGACTGTGAAAATGGGAGTTAACGTCTGGAAAAGTAGCAGAGGCTCTGTAGCGGAGGATGGAGGACACCGGGAGGCGGAAGCAGAGTGGAGATACACACCACCTTGGCGGGATACAGTTATAGCACCACGTTGCCGAGGATACAACCCCCGAAGGAGGGAAACACTAGGAGCAAAATTTGAAACCTGAAGATCAAAAATCACTTCTTAGACTTGAGAAAGAACTTGTATAAATGGGGAAGAAGGGTGACAACCTAAGAAGGAAGGAGGAGACGAAATGGAAGGGTTTTGAAGAGGTGAGCAACGAGTAGGAGGAGCGGCTGCGGAAGATTATGGCGCGGGGCGAGGAAGGTAAAGCGAACGATATAGGATTGTGAATAGAGCGAGCGAAAGCGAACGACATTTTAATGTTGTGGATCAGTCCGATCCAGCGTGAATGGTTGGATCGGCTTGCTCCTAGACGCTCCGACCCAACGCGGAGAAGCAGGGAGAGTTTCGCATCACTTAGGGGGGTGTTTGGTTGCAAGGAGGATTTAATAAATCTGGTAAATCTAAATATCATTAAATTTGAAATAATATTTGTTTCAATTATGGTTAAATCTAGTTAAATACATTTGAGGTGTTTGGCATAAATTTATTTGAAGTTATTTTTTCTTGTGCTAAATCTATTAAATCCAACTAATAAGTGAATTTAGTTAGTACGGATTTAATTAAAGAAACAAACTAAAATTGGATTTTACTTAACACCAAATTTATTTATGATGTTTGACAGGATTTAAGTTAAATCTAACTTAAATCCGGTTAAAGTATCCTAGCAAACAACCCCTTAGTCTCTGTAAACTGCATGGTCTTAACTATGTTACTTTTTCTCTTTATTATTTAAATAAACTATTATATAATTGCAAAGTAAATTCTTTTTAAGGGTTTAGCTTGAACTTCTTGTCCTCCATTAGTGGCTCGTTGACTGGCTTCTAAATGCATCTTTAGTAAAAGTGGAGTGTAGTGACATACGACTCACAACAGGGCGAGTACATGAAAACGTAATTTGTTTAAGCATTTTGCATCAATGAGAAAATTTTCAGTTAAGGGTAAATTTAGTGATTGCTCTTAAGCATTGAAAAACAATGTAGTATTGAAAATTACAATGTTGATAATTTTTAGAGGAAATAATGAAATTTATTCCCAATTTATTTTGAGTGTTTTCATTTTGATCCAAAAATTTCTCATTTTTTCAGTTTGATTCCTTGGGGGACCAAAATGAGTGCTATTTTGATGAGTTGAGGAATGAACTTGAAGAATAAAACAGCCTGGATCAAATGAAAACTCTAAATAGTTTGGGGATCATTTGGTCATATTCTATTTCCAGGAAACTTAGGTGCGAAGGATCGGACTAAACACACATCTTTTCATTAGTTGGGTAAGTTTGAAAATTGGTAATCATGGAAGAAAAAAAAAACGTTTGTTATTATTTGCAAATGATACAGTTGTAATAAATCTTTAAGCAATCATATTAAATTCAAATTTAGTGCTTAGCAATTTAAATATTCTCGATGATTAGGGGACTTGGATTTTGGGAAACTTTAAAATTTAAATGTGGAATTTCAGTTGATTTGAAGATGACAGACAAAACGACATCGATAACTTGAAATGATATGCTTACATGTTATATATATATTAGTTCAAAGTTATGAAAAATTCAAGTTTATATGAATATAAGTTGTTGATTTTCAACTTTGGTTGTTAAAATGTCGTTGATCATTGCAACTCTTTGATATATAATTATATAAGAAGCTGTTCGAAGTAATTAAGTTAAACTCGAGGTAACATTAAATGCAACTCTTTGATAACGGTTAAACTAAATCAAAGTAATTTGCATGGAAGCAACAGATGTTGCCAATTGTTGCAATGAATCAATTTTCTCATATGATTTTAAATTTCAGTTTTTATGTCAGAATAATGATATATGTGTCCTGTTGATGTAATTATTGTTCTTTACATCATACTGAATAAGATACAATTAGTCTATTTTTCTCCATGGAGAAATACAACTAGAGGCCAAAATATATTTGTTTTTTTTGGGAGAATTACATGCATACTGCCCAATTCCACTGTATTTACATATCCAGCACCTAAATTTAAGTTTTTACATTTACAATTTAGCTATGCATGAAAAAGGTGTATTGCACCTTTTAAAAGTTAAAGTAGTGGTATTTTTGATGTGATATAAAAGATTTGGGTGTTATAAATGTAAGACCTAAAATTTTGGTGTTATATATCTAAATTCATAGGAATTGGGTGGTATTTATGTAATTGCTGTTTTTTTGTTTTTAGGGGCATTTACATACATACTACTCAATTCTTTTGTATTTACATATCTAATACCTAAACTTTGTTTTTTACATATACCTCCCAAATCTTTCATACTATATCAAAAATACCACTATTTTAAATTTTAAAAAGTGAAATACACCTTTTCATGCATAGATAAGGTCGCAAATATGTAAAAATTGAAGTTGATGTTTTAGATATGTAAATATATAAGAATTGAGTGGTATGTATGTAAATCTTCCTTCCTTTTTGATCCTTTTGAGTATCCCTCTTGCTTTAGCATTGAAAACTCATTTTCTTAACTCCATAACCTATGCTACCAAAATAATTTTGATCGCCCTTACACAGTCATTAATCTTTATCATATTCTAATGACAGAAAACCGGTTCAGAGTACAGAGATAGAGCTGCCGAGAGGAGGGCCTTACATGGTGGTTTCGGTACAGGTTTGGGAGAAAAGAGTTTCCTTGATGATGATTATATTTCCGGAGAATCTCGAACACCAGAGACAAATGGGATTCTAAATGAAGCTATAAATGCCTCATTCGGACCCGGAAGTTGTGCCAGAAAAATTCTCGAAGGCATGGGATGGAAACATGTAAGCATCCATTCACTAACTGCTATCCATAATGTGCCATGTTTCTTCATCGTATATTTGGGGCATTTACATTCATACCACCCAATTCCTATGTATTTAGTATTTACATATCTGGCACCTAAACTTGGTTTTTTTACATTTATACCACCCAAATCTTTTGTCACAAAAAATTGAAATATACATTTTCATGCATATGCAAGGTGGTATATGTAAAAATTGGAGTCTAGGTTTTAGATATGTAAATATGTAGGAATTGGGTGGTATATATGTAAATCTTCCTTATGTTTACTTTAATTTACATGTATACAGTGTGATAGCCTTGTGTTTTACTACATAAGACTAGAATTGCTCTGATTGCATTATGTTCGTTTTTTCGTATTTAGTTCCACAAGTTGGTGGTTAGGATACATCAATCTGAACTCATTCCTCAATACTGATCTTAGCCCAATCATTGCATCAAAGCTGTACCGATTCACTGCTGAGGAAATGCTAATTCGGTTCTCTTCTTGTTTAAAATACTTTTATCTGAAAGGAAGATTTACATACATACTACTCAATTCTTATGTATTTACATATCTAAATTTCAATCTTTGCATACATACCACCTTACCTATGCTTGAAAATGTGTATTTCACCTTTTAGAAGTTATAATTGTGGTATTTTTTATGTGATATGAAAGATTTGGGTGGTATAAATGTAAAATGTAATGTTTAGGTGTTACCTATGTAAATTTATTGGAATTGGGTGGTATGTATGTAATTGTCCCTTTTATTTTATATGCTATTTTAACTTTTGCTTTCGCCTGTCTGATTGTCATTTTGTTCACTTAGGGCGAGTCTCTCGGGAGCTCCAACAAGGGCATTTTAGAGCCCCTGTGTCCTGTTGGTAATAAAGGCTATTCTGGTTTAGGGTGGAATCATGCTCGTGGTGAGAACTGATAAAACAGCCATATTTTACTTTTGGGTTCATTCTCTGAAGACTAGATTCCTGAATTTTAAACTACCTTCTGGTTTCATATATGATGGCATCTTGATTCCAGTTTGAGGTAAAACTTCATTTTTATCGAATTTTCCTGTTATAATCTGTGACACTTTTCTCCTTCATGGATTTTTACATGCAACTTTTGCATTGCTTTAGGAGGTGCAAATGATATCATTTTTTTTTTGTTTGGGAAATGGGGCATTTACTTATATACCACCCAATTCCTATGTATTTACATATCTAACTCCAAAATTTGGTTTTTTACATTTTATACCACGTAAGTCTTTAATATCACATAAAAAATATCATTAGTATAACTTTTAAAAAGTTTATTGCATCTTTTCATGTGTATAGTGGTATGTGTGTAAAAATTGAAGTTTAGGTGTTTGATATGTAATTACATAGGAATTGATTGGTATATTTGTAAATCTTAAATAATATTATACTTTTCATACAGGGTTTTATAAGATGAGTATTTTGAACTCCATTTTATTGGATCTGTTGGAGGGAGGTATTGTTACTTGTCTTCTACTTCAATTATGTTTCATAATTGACGCATTGTTTATTATATTTGTTAGCAATTATATTAGGAAATAATTTATTCCTGTGAGAGTTATGAAGAATAAATTATTTCTTGAGGTTAGGAATTATTTTCTTTCCTATTTTATATTTATTTCCTTCGATTATGAGTTATTTTTTCTCCTATTTTATGTTATTTCTTTTATCTCTAAATAATTAAAATTAATTGATTATTGGAGATATTAAGTGATATATCTTTTCTTTCATATTATTGTTTTTTATTATCTTTCCTATTCTATGATTCATGTAAAGGGTTATTTATACCCCCCTTCGTATCAATGAAAAATCTTCCGTTTAATTCTATTTTATTTCGCATTATTCCAAATTTCAACCTGGTATCAGAGCCAAATTCCCTATCCTAGCCACCGATCCTCCCTCCAGAGCCGCCGGACTCTCTTCATGCCATCCTCCTTGCAGAAAAAGAGGGACATCGTATCCCCCCTCTCAAGCATTCTTCGCTTTGTCGCCGTGTTCTCCTTGGAGATGGTGGAGGCTAATGACGGCGAACCACGAAAAAATAAAAGTTTCCAGCCGCAAGAGAAGCATTTTTGTCCAAGATGGAGGGAGTAGGAGGTGGGAGGACCTGAGTAGCAACCTCTGGGTTGTGTTTTTCTTGTGGATCGGAGCCGCAAATCTTATAGCTGGTGTGCCATATGTGTGCTCAACGTGATGGTACGCTGCGTGGGATCCATTTTCCTGGCATGTGCTCGACTTCCGGGGTTTGAATGATATTTCTCAACGTCTCGGTTGTTGGCGCGATGAAGCCGTTGACTTTGCCATTCTCTTCAATTTCGACATCGCCTAAAGTGAGGATGTCATCGATTATGTCTACTTCCCATTCTATTCCAACGAGATTTATCTTGAATATGTCGCAAACATGTGTCCAATGTTTCAATATTTCAACATGAAGAATCCTAATGTATTTGAATTTGAATTTTGCAAGGCCATTTGCAAAATTGAATTTTTTAAGGGAATGGCTATGGATGAGAGCTTGATCTGCCATCAAGTCATGTCAATCAATGTTGTGGTAACTTCATTGAGTTGAAGGTCTTTTCTTATACAATGGATGGATCAATGAATTCTATTATTTGTGAATGCCTTCCTCGAATTTGAAAACTTGAGATCACTGAATGTTTAATGTCAAGAGGTGTCATCCTTTACGCTGCTTGTTGTAGGAGCTTGAATACCTTGATGTCTCTGGTTATAATTCATATGGTTCGTTGGGTTACGGTGCTTTTGCTTATGGTTATGGAATGGCTACCAATGGTGTAGGTTTCGGAGGGTATGGCGGCTACGGGAACTCCGAGGCCTATGGAAATATTTTTGGACCTGGCGTTGGTTATGTTATCGGATCTCCAGGTGCTCTGAGGAGCGGGTATGCTTGGTTATGGTGCAAATGCAGGGTATGGAGTTGTTTCTGGATAAACATGTAAGTCTCCCAATGCTGCAGTCGGAAGTATCTCGTTGCAAGTTTTTCTGGCAATAGACCCTTCTACAGAGCTTTTGCTTGCCACAGACATGTCTCCAGAGCTTTCTTCGAGCAGACCCTTCTGCGTAGCTTTTCTTGCAGCAGACCCTTCTTCGTATTTTGTTGTAGCAGACCTTTCTTCGTAGCTTTTCCTGTTTCCTGCATCAGGTTTCCTCAGGTTTTTTTTCCTGCATCAGGTCTCCTCCGAAACTTTTTCTGTATCTGACCCTCCTCCGGAGCTTGTCTTGCAGCATGTTCTATACCATAGTTCTTCATGCAACAGACCCTCCTCCGAAGCTTTGCTCTGAAGTTTTTCCTGCAGCAGGTCTGCCAGAATTCTTTATGCAGCATGCCCTCCTCTGGAGCTATTTCCTGCATCAAGCTCTCCTCCTACTTCGTAGCATTTCCTGCATTAGGCCTCCTCCAGAGCATTTCCAGCAGCAGGTCATCCACCGGATTTTTTCCTGCATCAGACCCTCCTCCGGATCTTTTCTTGCATCGGGCCCTCCTCTAGAGCTTTTTCTGCAACAAGGCCTACCTCTGAGGCTTTTTTCTTTAGGTTACACACTGCAGTCCTTTTTCTAAAGATTGTTTACTTCTCTACAAACTCTCCTGCAACATTACTTGTAGGATTCTTCCGCCTACCTGCAGATACTGCAGGAACTGTAGTCAACTAGAAGTCAACATTTTCCTACTTGTTGTCTACTTTCCTCCAAACTCCCTTGCAGCACTACATGTAGGAGTCTTCTGTCTACCTACAGACATTGCAAAAACTGCAGTTAAAGACAACTACAGTTTTCTACTTCCCTGCAAACCTCTCTACAACATTATTTGTAGGAGTCTTCTGTCTACCTACAGACACAACATGAATTGCAGCCAAAGACAACTGCAATACGGGATGAAAACTTTAAATTCTACCTCATGGGATCTCTCTTACCCATTGTTTGATATTTTCAAATCCAAGTTGAACATGATTTTGAATCATGTTTAAACTTGAGGGGGAGTGTTAGAAGTTATCTTAGGAAATAATTTATTCCTGTGAAAAATTAAGAGGAATAAATTATTTCACAAGATTAGGAGTTATTTTCTTTGATTTGGATTTATTTTCTTTCTTATTTTATGTTATTTTTTTTATCTCCAAATAATTAATATTAATTGATCATTGGAGATATTATATGATATTTCTTTCCTTTAATATTTTTTTTCTTTTTATTATTTTTTCTATATTAAGATTCATGTAAATGATTATTTATACCCCCTTCATATAAATGAAAATCTTTCCATTTAATTTTGTTTTATTCCACATTATTCTGAATTTCGCAATATTAATGAAAATTTTTAAAGCATTAGAGATAACTACGTTCACCAACTAAAGAAGCTGTGCATTTCCCTAATTTACTACAACGATTGATAACCTTCTCTTTTCCTTCATCTAAAATCTGAATTTATTCTTCTGAAATTTTGCTATGCTTACAAACTTATGATCATATTTGCACATATCTATGTTGATGCCTTACGTAACATGTTAATAAACTTGAAAAACTTAACATTTCAGTATTGGGAATTGAGCTTTCTATAAAGATTTGTAATTTAAACCTTTTCTTTAAAGAATATTAAGAATGTTAGGCTTGTTAGGATTACGAAAATTCCTCTTTAAGGTCTGTTTGGGGCAGTTGCAGCTTATCCAGATAAACGGCTTATCCTGATAAGCTGCGGATCAACAGCTTATCCGGTTAAGCCGACTGGTTATTTGGTTTGTGTGTTTGAAAAATAACTGATTTGTAGTTGTTTCTGAATAAATGATAATTCTGCCCCTGGTTTGTATAAGCTATCTAACTGTTTGGTTTGTGCGTTTGAAAAACAACTTATTTGCAGCTGTTTCTGGATAAATGATTATTCTGCTACTGTACAGTTGTGTTGTTTACAACAAAATTATTTCAGCTATATATTTAATAGTCTATAACAAAAAAAAATATTTAATAACAGTACAAAAAAAAGGATACACAGTTATCACAAAATAATAAAGTTCTAAATCATGTATTCCAACAGTTATCACAAAATATGTAAAGCTTGGTAATTGTTCTTCAAACCAAAAAGGAAGAAAAAATGAAAACGAGTTGCACTGTGCCAAAAAACCAAGCCAGCCAAAGAAATTTGATTCGATGTTATCCACTAGAAAACAGCTAAAAAAAACCAAAGAAACCCAATGAAAATGCCAATCCCTCCCTCCATATTCTTCACAGAATGCTTGTCACTGCTCACGCAAAACCATTTCATCAGTAATGGGGAAAGCAAGCCGAAGAAATAAAATGCCAATCCTTCGATATTCTTGAAAGAATGCTTGCTACTAACACAAAACCAATTCATCAAGAATTCATCGCAACATTAGCAAGTTACAGAGCACCACACTTACCGGATCGTCCCAGGGTATCATCACGAAGTTAAAACAGGAAACGCTGGCCGCGGGGTTTGACCTGCGGTCGGCTTGTAATAGGAAAGGATCTGTGTGGATCCTCGAACCCACTCTAAACACACGAAACAAATAACAGGGGCAGTGTTTTGAAAACACATAAGTAGCAAATAAGCTGCCCCAAACAAACCCTTAATTTAGTATATTTTTCAGCATAAACATGAATCTCCTGATGTTAAAAAAAGAATCAATTGTCCAATTTGATTTCGTTCAGTTGAATCTTCAATTCTTTTTTTGTTTGAGCTCAAATCGGCATGATCAATCCCTGAATAGAATGAAGAGTCTTGTCAATGTGTGTAAATTGGTTTAGTGAGAGCTTGAATGGGATTGAAACACTGAATCGATTCAAGATGGAAGAAGATATGGCAACAAAGAGCACTATCATCTAATCAAGGGGTTAAGCGGGTCTAAATGACTCGTGTATGACATGTTCGTAGGCTCGATTTGCATTTGTTTGTTCATTTCAGCTTGTGTTCGGCTCAAAATTTACTCGATTTTTAATATTTTTTAAATATAGCACAACTTTAATATAAAGAGAATTTTATATACATAGCACCCAATTCTTATGCATTTACATATCTGACATCCAAACTAGGATTTTTACAGCTAAAGCATCTTTTCATCTTTTTCTATGTATGAAAAGGTGGATTACATAAATCCACCTTTTCATACATAGGAAAAGCATGAAAAGGTGTTTACGAAGTAAAAAATCAAAGTGTGGGTGTGAGATGTGAATGCATAAGAATTGGGTGCTATGCCGCTAAAATTTTAAATTATTTAATTAATTCGTGCCAAAACGAGCCCAATATAATCTAAAAAAAATCCGTTTGTGTTCGTCCTGTACATTAATCACGCTAAAAGACAAATTGTATTCGGTTCCGTTTGTTTAACGAATAAATCGAACAAGAATTACTTAACAAGCACAGAATAAGAGCTTGTTTTGAAATAAAGAGCTTTTTTTTGATAGTCCAATTCAAGAAGTAATTGGTTTCTTTCATCCTTAGCTTCCTCTCAACTTTCTTAGGCCAATCATATATCTACTTTTTCAGGACATTTATATAAATACACCATAATTCTTATGTATTTACATACTAACCCCTAAACTTTCATCCATATACTTTTGCAGGGAACCATTACCAAGGAGAGGCGTTACAAGAGATCATAATTAACATGTTGGCATTGATTCTGGGCTTTGAATTCAAGCTTTTACATTCTTTCATTATTTCCTCCACTCTTCCATGTGGAGTATGGCCCAAGTTGATGGGAGCTGAATTGACTTCATCTTTATCATTAAATTTAGTATTTTATCTATTCATTTTTATTGACATTTTGAACCTCAATTTTTCATTTATTTAAGAATTTTGTAAAGATGTTGTCTTTTATTTTGTTTGCATATATATCACATTTCCTATGTATGAAAATGTGTATTTCATTTGTATTTTTGATGTGATATGAATGATTTGGGAGGCATAAATATAAAAAGCAAAGTTTAGAGGTTAGTTATGTAAATACATAAAAGTTGGTTTTATCTTTGTAAATACCCCTTTGTAAATGTCCCTCATTTCTATTTTAATAACATATATATATATATATATATATATATATTAAAGATTGATCAGAGGCTATGATATGAGCCTCCAATCAAGCTCATTTGTCTAATCACTCGACTTAACAACACATAGGTGGATTCGAACCCTCGACTTCAGAGGACTTAAACTGACTTTGGAGATGTGCGCAAATAGTTGGGGAGTGAACGCATTATGTCTAGTTGTATGAAAATAAAATTGATTTTAGAATATTGAGATATAATTAGAAATTTCTACAAAAAAAAAAAAAAAAATTGCTTGTGTATTAGAAATTTGGCCAATTTTAATGAGCTGAAAATTTGTAAAACCACCCTCGTGAAATCTATGTTTCATATTTATAATTAGGATGATTTACATACGTGATACAATTTCTATGTCTAAACTTTGATATTTATGTTAACACAACATTACAAATGTATGAAAATGCATATTTCACTTTTAAAAGGATTAATAATATTGGTATTTTTG